TTCCCCAAGAGGTCAATCGCCCTCTTTCGTTCGCCAAGCCTGTCGGCTCTCTGGGCCGTAGATGAGGGCAACCAGTTTCTGTGCGAGGCGCCCCCCCTCCCTCCCAGCTGAATCTCCCAAGCAACTTGGAGATCACTTTGGAAATCCCGCATCCAGCTGGCCAAACATGAAACCACCGTTTTGAACACCCAGGTCGGCCTTGTGTCATGTCGCATCACACCAGGCCCGTGGCCCTGGGGTACGCGACGGCATGGGAGGCGCAGCGCCTTGAGCCTGCACCTGCTGACTGTGGGTAACAGTCGGGCCCCCGACAGAAGAGCACCCTCAAGAACACGAGACCCTCTGCTGGCCCAAACTGAAGAACATTCGAGGGTGCCCTCCCCCACGATGCACAAAAATACCCAACAAACACGAAGTATCCAGAGATCCGACGTCGTGATCCCCGGAACCCTCGACCCATTCCCCAGGACCGGCTTTCCATCCTGGCTCGTTCTTTGACAGCCCCGGGGCCCGGCGAGGGCTCCCAGAGGCCGAGAATCGCGAAAACCCTCAGTTTTGATTCCCTACCTAGGCTCTGCCTAGAGGGTTCTTACTCTCTTTCTTACAGGGGCCGCGCAGTGGAACTCGCCCCGGGCGGTTCCCCCAGTCCCCGCCCCGCGGTTCCCCCAGTCCCCTGGGAGCTTTTGCTTTAGCTTTAGCTTTAGCGTTAGCTTTAGCGTTAGCTTAGCTTCAGCTTAGCTTTACTGTTACTACTAGTGCTACTTTCCCAGGGGCTCCAACTCCTAGGTAGGGTCGCACTGGGATAACGCTTTCAATGCGTTGGATCTCTGGAAACGGTAGGGCGCCCTCCCCGAACTGGCCTCGATCGTATACCTCGGTCCGACCGTCGCAGATCCGCTGGGCGGCAGCGGGGGCCAGAGCACCGCGGACGGAGAGCCAGCAGCACGAGAGAGAGACAGGGGGGAATGCTGCCAAGTCCCCTCAACTCTTGCCACTGACGCTCCAGCTCCTTCTCCTCCTCCTCCTCCTCCTCCTCCTCCTCCTCCTCCTCCTCCTCCTCCCCCTCCCCCTCCTCCTCCTCCTCCTCCTCCTCCTTCTCCTCCTCCTCCTCCTTCGTTCTTCCTCTCCTCCTCCTCCTTCTCCTCCTCCTCTTCCGTTCTTCCTCCTCCTCCTCCTCCTTCTCCTCCTCCTCCTCCTTCTCCCTCCTCCCTCCTCCTCCTCCTCCCCCTGCTTTCTACTCCTCCTACTCCAGCTCCTCATCTTCCTCCTCATTATCCCCCTCCCCCTCGACCGTGCGGCTACACAACAGAAGTGCAGGCGAGAGGGCATCCGAGAGGGCACGAACAGCTCGGGAGGGGCAAGCCACTTGCAATCAGCCTGGCGAAACCGTGCAGACACTATGTGGCGTAGGTCGCTACCCTTCCCTCGTGTGTACTGCGAGCCTCGGGTGAGGCGAGGGCGGTGGAGGAATTCGAGGAAAGGTCACGAATGACAAACATAATCCGTACCCGCGGCCTCGCGGTCTCTATTCCGGGGCGCCATTCCGTGGATGTGCGGTCACACGGATACTCGTCGTTCGGAAGAAGTGGGTGGAACCATGAAATAGGAGGACGCTGGAAGAAAATTGTGCTTCGCCCACCCCCTGAAGAGGAGGGAAGAGGGACAACCGCTCGCCTCTTGAAGTAAAAAGGTGCAGCTCTCCCCTTGGATCCCTTTCCGGGGAGGGCGGGGGGGAGGGTCCCGGGGAAAGGTTCCGGGGGGCGGTCCGGGGTGGTGGTCCCGGGGGGTGGTCCCGGGGGGAGTCCCGGGGGTAATGTGATTGTTTCTTTACTAGAGCCCCCCCTCAAACAGCTCCCCCTCCTTCTCCTGATCTCCTCCCCCCTCACCCGCCGACGCTCGGCAAGGCGCGGCGACATGGGGTCGTCGTCGTCGCCGCCGTCGTCGAGGAGGGGGAGGGAGAGGAGGAGGAGGAGGAGGAGGAGGAGGAGGAGGAGGAGGAGGAGGAGGAGGAGGAGGACGAGGAGTCAGGAGGTGGGGGAGGAGGACGAGGAGGAGAAGAAGGAGGTGCAGGAGAGGGAGGAGGAGGGGGGATGGAGAAAGAGGAGAGAGGAGAAGATGGACAAGGAGGAGGAGGAGGAGGAGGAGGAGCAGGAAGAAAAGCAGCAACGGTTCCTCCTCCTCCTTTTCCTCCACCCCTCCTCCCCCTCTTCTTCCTTACCTCCTCCTCCTCCTCTTCCTCCTCCTCGTCCTCCTCCTTCTCCTCCTACTGGTCGTCGATATGCTTCAGGGTCGGCGGCATCGGCCGTCAAGCCTTCTCAATACCTACTTTCAACGACCAATATGTATGTAAATTCTGCGAGGGGCATCCGCGAACAGAACGTTCCGCATCCGTGGGGTCGCGGCCTGGGGGCCAAGGCCCGCCAGGCCGCGGAGACGGAGATGCCCTCCGCCCACGAGAAAAGACATGGGGAGGGAAGAGGGGCTCCGCCCGAGGGCAGACAGGGGAGGAAGTCGGCGCGAGTAGGACACATTGAGATATGCAGGGGTTGCCAACAGGGGATGCAGTCCACCCGTGTCAGAAGGATGCGCGGTAAGGATGCAAGGGCCTTGGAGGGCCACGTTGGCATTTTTCGAGCGAGGGTGGCCGACGAACGTGGCCAAGGTTGGGCCGAAAAGGAAAGGATGCAGGGGTGCCCTTGGGAAGCTTGCCCATCCGTGCTATGCGGGTTGCCTGTATGTCGATCCCTGTCCCAGGCTTTGGGAGGTCTTCTTCCTCCTCCTCCTCCTCCTCCTCCTCCTCCTCCTCCTCCTCCTCCTCCTCCTCCTCCTCCTCCTCCTCCTCCTCCTCCTCCTCATCCTCCTCCTCCTCCTCCTCCTCCTCCTCCTCCTCCTCCTCCTCCTCCTCCCCCTCCTCCTCCTCCCCCTCCTCTCCCCCTCCTCCTCCTCCTCCTCCCTAAGGCTGGGGCCCCAGAGCGTGGGAGCATTGCGATGGGGGGGGGAGGGGGGGCGGCCGCCGTCCCCGATGTGGGGCGCGCCCAGAGGGCCCCACTTGGGGTGTGCAGTCCACCCGTGTCAGAAGGATGCGCGGCATGGATGCCAAGAGGAGGAGGAGGAGGAGGAGGAGGAGGAGGAGGAGGAGGAGGAGGAGGAGGAGGAGAAGGAGGAGAATGAGAAGGAGGAGGAGGAGGAGGAGGAGGAGGAGGAGGAGGAGAAAGAGGCCTTGTAGGACCAGGCTGACGTCTTCTCGAGCGAGGCTGGCCCGCGAAAGCCGCTGAGGATGGGCCGAAGGGGGCAAAAGGGTGCGAGTGTGCCCTTGGGAAGGCTGCCCATCCTTGCTGTGCGGGTTGCCTGTGTGTCGACCCCTGCCCTAGGCTTTGGGAGGTCTCCGGATGGACCAGGAATCTGGGGCCCCAAAGCCTGGGAAAATTGCGATGGGGGGGGGCGGCCGTCTCCGATATGGGGTGCGTCCGAATAGCCCCCTTGGGGTGCATCCCCGGGCTTCCTTTTTTTCTGAACGGCCAAACGTTTCAAGCGGAACTCGGGCATTCGTCGGCGGCGAGCGAGGGGGGAATCTGGAAGGAGAAGGCCTTTTTCAGAAGGCCGCGGGAATTCTCAGAAGTCCTCGCGCCTTCTGGTATTTTGTTTGTCTTCGGGGAAGGCTTAGGACCTAGAAAACTTCTCAGAAGGCCAGGGAACTTCCGAGCCTTCTTTGGCCTTCTCCTCCTCGATTCCCCCCTGGGCTCGCCGCCGAATTCGGGGAGAATGCTCGACTGCGAGTGGCAGGTGAGGAGTCACGACTGCTCCGCGCGGCCGAGCAACAGCACAGAGCGAGCAGCGCGCGAAGGAGGGTGCACCGCGGATCCGTCCACGCGATGGCGCAAAGAAGCCGAGGATGAGCCTGCGGAGCTGGGAAGCCCAGAGGGTACCGATACCGCTACTCCCCAGATCCCTCTCTCGCGGGGTGCGTTCCGACCAGAATCTCGAGGCGAATGAAGCGGTGGCGGCGACGAGGGCCTCCCGGGAGGTCCTAAAAGAGAAAACAACCGGTGAAGGGTAGCAGAATGGGTTGTGGATGTCATGGCAATGGACACCCGAACAATCCGATCACTGCATGAATCATGTATCTAACATGGTTGAGACATTGTCTTCGCATGTTTCATCTGTGATCTGTGCACGCTGAAGGCACGTGCGAACCATGTTGTATGTATAAACGTCTGGGCATGGTGTGGCAACACGCTTCCTTTCCATTGATCGTCTTCCACAAGGCATGGAGGAGGAGGAGGAGGAGGAGGAGGAGGAGGAGAAGGAGGGAGGAGGAGGAGGAGGAGGAGGAGCAAGAGGGGGAGGAGGAGGAGGAGGAGGAGGAGGAGGAGGAGGAGGAGGAAAAGGAGGGAGAGGAAAAGGAGGAGGAAAAGGAAAAAAGGAGGAGGAGGAGGGAGGAAAAGGAGGAGGAGGAGGAGGAGGAGGAGGAGGAGGAGGAGAGGAGGAGGAGGAGAGGAGGAGGAGGAGGAGGAGAGAGGCATGGGCACCTCTCTTCCTCCTCCGACCCACACGGTGGCGCAGAGAGACGCCACGGGTGCGACCCCGCGGAGAGCCGCCGCAGAGACTCGGAGAGCCGAGGGGGCCCGGCGGCCGCTCCACGCCGTGCGGAAGCGTTCCCCACTGAGAATCTGTGCACGAGCGTGCGAGCGCGGGGAGCCGCGCGCCGCCAGGAGGAGGAGGAGGAGGAGGAGGAGGAGGAGGCGGAGGAGGAGGAGGAGGAGGAGGAGGAGGAGGCGGAGGAGGAGGAGGAGGAGGAGGAGGAGGAGGCGGAGGCGGAGGCGGAGGCGGAGGCGGAGGAGGAGGAGGAGGAGGAGCGAGCGAACATGAAGCATAACAACTTACAACAAAGCAGAGCACGAGCCAACACGCCGCAGGCCGACACAGTACAACCACGAACTCGATAGGCACGAACCGTGCCCCATGAGGCTCTGTGACAAGCGCAGCTCCGCAGTTCCGCAGCTCCTGCCGAGGAGGGTCAGCGAGCCTCTCCGACAGCGCTCCGAGGATGCGCTCACGCTTCTGCCCCCCAGAGACTGCCGCGCCCTAGGATCTGCTGCGCCCTCCCTCCTGCTGGCCCCCATCATCACCGCGCGAGCGATCTTTTCTACAATCGCACACCACCCACGTCCCCGCGTGGACAGGAAGTCGCAGAGCTGCGTGCCACTCACGCCTGCGATGCACTTCCTGCCGCCCCCCTCGGCATGCCGCGACGTGTTCGCTGTCGTGCCCCGCCCTGCCCAGCCCCTCGCTGCTGCTGAGTCTACTCTGCCACCACCTCCCCCGACTTCCACTCGCTGCCGATCAAGATCAGGGCTGCTGGCGACTCCGATGAGAAACCTTCTCGACTCCTCTCGGAGTTACCACACAAGGAGTCCACCGAAGGTAAGCAAGGCTCCTACAAGCCTGGGGACGTCAGCTGGGCACCCGATTGATCCTGGCCAGCCCATCCGGGGACCAGAGTCGGTGCATGGACGTATCCTTGGCCAAGTCAGGAGGGCGAAGACCCGCAGCGTGCTGCACAACACTAAACAACATGGGACCCCGCGGGTCTAAACCGCTTCCCAAGAGCCAGTGCTTCACCCCGAGTCGGTTTTTGACTGTCCCTCGGCCCGGTTGGGCCCCCAGAGGCAAAAAATAGTACGAAGCACCCCGCCGTTGCGGATAAGAGCGAGGGGGACGGGCGCGGGGTGGATCGCGGGGAGGGTCGCGGGGCGGGTCGCGGGCGAGAACGACGACAACGAAACAACAAAACAAATAGAATCCGCGCGGCGGAGGCTCACTTTCAGCCACGCACCCAGGGACAACGAATGACCGTTCGGACCCCTCACTCTGACAAGATCTTCCGCCGTGATCTGTTCTTGACGCGAGGGGGTCTGTTGGTGCCCGGATCTTGGGACCAGGAGGTTGGAGGCGACGGGGGGGTCTGAACTAGATGGGGCTCCAGAAAATCGGTCAGGGGGGCGGTGAAGCCAAATCCATTCGAAGACAGTCCCAGACCCCTCCTGGGGTCCATCTGGCGCACTGTTTCACTCCGGATCCGTTTTTCACGGTCCTGGGCCCGAAAACAGCCCCCGGAGGCGGAAAAAGGAACACGAAACCTGCCCGAACCCAGAATCTCGAACCTGCCCGCCCGTCGAATGCTGGGCCGCCTCGGACCCCGAGACGGCTCCAAGCAGCAGGAGGGACTCCTCGGCAGGATCGGCGAGGTGGTCGACAGACGCCCCCTATCCTCCCCCCTCCCACTCCACCCCCAAACCTCCTTCCTCCTCCTCCTTACCTTTTCCCCCCCCTCCTCCTCTTCCTCTTCCTCTTCCTCCTCCTCCTCCTCCTCCTCCTCCTCCTCCTCCTCCTCCTCTTTCTGGTTCCTGGTTCCTGACGGCCTGAGGGTTCGTCGAATGCGGCCTCGCACCAGCCCCCCCCCCCCCCCATCCTCCTCTTCCTCCTCTTCCTCCTCTTCCTCCTCTTCCTCTTCCTCTTTTTCCTCGATGTTCCCTTCCTCTTCCTCCTCTTCTTCTTCCTTCTCCTCCTCCTGCTCCGCCTCCTCCTCCTCTTCTTCTTCGCTCCTCCTTCTCGTTCATCGCTCCTCGTACCTCTCCTCGCTCCTCGCTCCTCCTCCTCTCCTCCTCCTCCTCCTCCTCCTCCTCCTCCTCCTCGCTCCTCGCTCCTCGCTCCTCGCTCCTCGCTCCTCGCTCCTCGCTCCTCCTCCTCCTCCTCCTCCTCCTCCTCCTTGTCCTCCTCCTCGTCCTCCTCCTCCTCAGCCTCCTCCTCCTTTTGCATCTCGCCCAACTTCGGGGCAGGCTCCTCTGCCATGGGCCCTTGAATGGCTGGCTGGCCATCAAACAAGATCGACAGTGAGGGGGGGGGCCAGGTCGTCTGGCTGACCCCACTTTCTCATTCCTGTCGGCAGTACACCCTGCTCAGACGCAGCGATGAGGTTGCGCCCGCCTTTTGTGAGCTTGTCTGGCCTGCACTGCTGCTGGGGACGATGGAAACTCACCGAACCATATCCCCCACATGAGCGACACCAATAAGTGCCACGAAAGGTCATGACATTGTCGGAGGGGTGCAGAGAACTAGGAGAACCTGGACATGCTGCCGCCAGCCACACACTCCGTGGGACCGACGACGACGAAGAGGAGAGGCAGACAGAGAGAAAGAGCAACGGAGCCGTCCTCGAGTGTCCTGCTTCAGAACGTGAGAGGTCTCAGCTCGGGAACATCTGTGCGTGTGCAGTATTTGTTGAGGAGCCCAGAGACACACGCATAAACAGACACAATCCCCAGGATGTCCCATATTTTCGTATAGTTTCTGGGTTCTCGTTTTTCCCCCCCCACTTGCCGTAGTTCCCGATCTTTTCCTGGAAACCGGCGACTTCTTGCGTCTGTGTGTGCTCAGTCCCTCCTGACTTTTGGCCTTCGAGTATCAACGCCGATCGGGAGATCGGGAAAGGCTCCTCGCCTCTGTCCTGCCGCCTCTTACTCATCTGTCGGGTCGGGCAAAAGGGGGGGGATAGCAAAGGGGGGGTTTGAGAATCAGCTCACGTAGCTGATTTTCCCGGAGCCTCCCGGCGCCAGAGGCGGCTATGTATCGAGGAACGGGCCCCTCGGTGGGGCCGAAACCAGCTGCATGCGGCAAATTTCGTAACCCCCCCTTTCCCAATCCCCCCCTTTCGCCCGGCCCGAATCTGGCTCCAGCGTGTTCCCAAAGCGCCCGCGGACGGCGGAGGGACAGAGGCCGAAGCCAGGACGAAGGCCAGGATCGCCTGGCACCGCATCGGGACGCTGGGCCGGAACGTGCGCCAGATTGAAGGGGCTCCAGGACACACAAATAAATACACACAAATAAAAATATTCCCCATATTTTCCTATATTTTCTGGGTTTCTGTCTTCCCCCCCACTTCCCATATTTTCCTATATTTTCTGGGAAATCGAGGATTAATTGTGTCTGTGTGGTTTTTCCTCTCCTGACAGATCTCCTCCTTCACCCCTGGCGGCCTTATCCTCCCTTTTTTGGACGGGCGAAGAACGGTACAAAATCCGCCGGCCCCCTTGTGGGGGCCACCAGGATGTAGGACGAGGGCTGCTGTTCCCTGCGCCAGTTCCAGTTTCCAGTCTCCACTGTTACGGTCTGGCTTGATGCTGCTTGCTGTTGCTTGTTGTAGAACGCGCGAGGGGGGGGGGCCGAAAATCAGCATGGTTAGCGTCTCCTGGGAGGGGTCTCAGAATTTCTGGGGGGGTCGAAATTGACACCCCTCACGCAGATCGGCGGGGTCGGGGTCCAAAACCACATGGAATTTGCCACATTTCTGAAATTCGGCGGTGCCCCTCACGCAGATCGGCGGAGTCAGGGTCGAACAACCATTGGGATTTGCCACATTTCTCAAATTCGGCAGTGCCCCTCCCGCAGATCGGCGGAGTCAGAGTCGGAAAACCAATGGGATGTGCCACATTTCTGAAATTCGGCGGCACCCCTCACGCAGATCGGCGGAGTCAGGGTCGAAAAAACAATGGGATTTGCCACATTTCTGAAATTCAGTGGCACCCCTCGAGCAGATCGGCGGAGTCAGGGTCGAAGAACCAATGGGATTTGCCACATTTCTGAAATTCGGCGGCACCCCTCACGCAGATCAGCGGAGTCAGGGTCGAAAACCCAATGGGATTTGCCACATGTCCGAAATTATCTGGGAAACCCCAGTGCACAGCATAAGGGGCCAGGTTCAAAATGCAACACTGAGTTCAGCAATATCATCACATCTCAATTTCTGTTTGCCGATGCTGCTTCACGGCGGCGCCGAGGCCTCGTGGTTTCGCTCCTGCAAAGCCCATTATCCGAGAGATGGGGCCGGCGGCAGGGGGCGAAGCCCTTGAGGATAGACTTTTTCGCTGTCGGGGGCGCCTGTCACAGGGCGACTGTAAAGTTTACACCCTAACGGTGGCACGACAAGGTATAAGCTTTCCAACCGCCCCGGGGCAACGCCCCCGGCGACGGAAACATGAATTTGTTATACCGTTCTTCACACGCTAAGATTATCCTGGCTACCTACTGAACCACCCCAACCCAACCCGAATACCCGAACTTCTGGATGGGCGGGCGGTAAGCATCCTGGCCGCATCGCCACGGCGTCGAATACGGGTCGAGCCAACCGCGCCGGGGTGCACGGCAACGCCATGCAAGAGCATCGGGCCGCGGGCCGCGCCAAATCGTCGGGATGTATGCGTCGGACCAGATAGGGGCCGGCCAACATCGAGATCAAGTCGGATCGATCAGATCGGATGGGTCTGCGGGGCGGGACTCTGGAGAGCGAGGCTCCTTGAGCAGAAAGCGGAAGTGCACGCATGGACTGAGGGAACAAAATGTGGCATAAACATAAAAACTCGAAACTCCGCGCGGATGTCTTGGATCGGCGCTGGACCCCCCTCCCTGGCGCGCGGAGCGCGCCAGAGGCGGCGCCGGATGCGCCGCCAGGGGGGCCCAGCGCGGATCCGAGGAATGCGCGCGGACCTCCGAGCTTTTATGTCTATGTCACCTCTTGTTCCCCTGTATAGACGTACCCCGCTCCCTGAGCCCCACTGTCAAGACGAAGGCATGAGGAAGAGGAGGAGGAGGAGGAGGAGGAGGAGGAGGAGGAGGAGGAGGGGGATGATGATGATTTTTTTAAAACAGAATCGGGGCTCAAGGGGAGGGGTAACTTGGGGTCAGCACTGGAGCCCTCTGCCCGCTGCGAGAGCGGATGTGCACCACGGGGCACTACGCACGCCGTGCACGGGGCTGCTGTTGCCCAGCACAGGTGCGATCTGCGGGGCGCGCCGCCGCAGACCCTGACGCTAAAGAGACCCAAACACATCCGAGCAGAGAGGGCGGAGGGACAGAGGGCGGCGGGGTACACGAGGCGGGAAAAGAAACAGAGGCTGTGGGGCAAGCCTTCTCAGAGCTCGGCGGAACAACGTGGGCCAACTCACCGCGTCACCGCTGAGCTGGAATCAATACCGCGATAAACTCAGTACAATCATCTGAACCTCATGCCGCCAGGTTCGCTTCCATCCATTCGGTCCACTCCTGCAGCCCCTCCTCCATGTAGCCCGCGGGAGCCGAGCCGCGCAGATGACGGCCTCCGCATTGGCGTAGCCCGTCGATCAGGCCGAAGCGTCGGTCGCCGAGGTTCTGGATGCCCAGCACGATCTTCA